AGGACAACATCAGTAAGTATTACCCAATTGTTTAAATGCTATTAAATGAGTAAGGAGAAACAGGTAGGGTATTAAACTAAGCAGAAACACAGCTGTGACAGAAGGTTCAAAATGAAGCTTCTATAGCTCCATACATGATTGTCTTCTCTTTCCACATGCTCTGACCCATTAAATACATTTCAAATTTTAAACATATTTGCAATTAAAAGGTCAAACCAATCATTAATTTATGTTTCCAGGAACGTTAAAAAGATGAACAAATGGGGTAATAAATGGATAGGTGATGGTTAGACAGATGGACATTGGAGAAATCACTGAAAGATGCATGGTTTCCACTAGAAGCTTAGAAAATTCCTGCCCTGTGCTCTCTGCTACTACATACAATGTAAGCTCATGTTCTCAGGCAACTGTAGGAGTTAAGTGATGTCACTGCCATGTTTAATGATGAGGAAATCAAAGAAAAAACTGCTTATTAAAAAAATAAAACCTAAGGCCAAGTGAGATGACATATTCCTATAATCCTAGCACTCAGGAGGCAGAGACAGGAGGATAGCTTCAGCTACAAGGCTTTCTCTGTCTATATAGTAACTCTGAGGCCAGCCAGGACCACACAGCAAAAACCCTGTCTCCTAAAGACAAAGAGAAAATAAAACAGCACTCACACATGGCCATACCAAGAAAACAGAGGGCAGAGGGCAGAGTGGGAACGCTGATGATCTAACTCCTAGGTTAAAGATTTGTGAAAAAATTATTAACTATTTCTAATTATCACATGAATCCTTCATTACTAATATATTCCCTTCATATAATATTTTATTATGAATGTTCTGTGTGTGTGTGTGTGTGTGTGTGTGTGTGTGTGTGTGTGTGTGTGTATTCTAAATTGCTCACTTAATTAAGCTTTAGTGAAAAGATCCCTTTTCTTTTGTTTTCTTTTAGGCCTGAGGTATAGCTCCATGGCAGAGTGCTTTCCTAGCCCTGGATTTGATCCCTAGTACTTCAAAAATAAAAGATAATTCCTAATCCTGGAGTTGGAAGTATCTGATTACTAGATAACACCTGGGAGTAGGGAGGGGTAAAGACAGGCAAAGAGAGATGAGAAAGGAGAAGGAGAAAGAAGAGATGGGAGAGAACAGGGAAAGAAGAGGAGCAGTGTGGGGGTCGAACGAGAATGGACCCCACAGGCTCCTACATTTGGATGTTTGGGCAGTTAGTGGTATTGTTTGGGAAGAATTAGGGTCTTGTTGGAGATATGTCACCAGGGGCGGGCTGAAGTCATTCCCAGTTAACTTTCTCTCTGTGCCTCATGGTGTTGTCTCACATGTAAGCCCTTAGCTACTGCTCTGGCACCAATGCCTACTGCCTGTTGCCATGCTCCCTACCATGATGGTCATGAACTCTAACTCTCTGGAACTGTGATCTCCCAAATTAAAAGCTTTCTTTTATAAGTTGTCTTAGTCATAGTGTTTTTGTCATGGTAATAAAAAGTAAGACAAGCAGGAAGAAGAGGAGGAGAAAAAGGAGAAGGAAGAAGAGGAGGTTGTTGAACAGGCCACCTGACTCTCATTCCAGACACTGACAGCAAAATCAATTGAGTAAGTAACTACAGCTTCTAGTACAGGAGACTGAGAGGTGCGCTGTAGTTTCTAAGAACTGTTTCTTAACGTAAAACATGCTTTTCTAGCTTGCATTTTTGGTCAGCATTGATTACCCACATACAACTATATCCTTAAATGGTCAATAGTGAAATCCGAAGATATCACTGTTCATTCATTTCAAGGCCTAGAGGATGGGAACCAATTTCCACTCACCAACTCTGACCACAGAAGCTACACTGGCACAGGTCAGATCTGGAACCACTTCAAGAGGTATGACTCCTACTGCTACACCAGCTATAAAAGAAGGTGTTGGAGCCAGGTGGTGGTGGTGCATGCCTTTTATCCCAGCACTCAGGAGGCAGAAGCAGGCAGATCTCTGTGAGTTCCAGGCCAGCCTGGTCTACAAAGCAAGATCCAGGACAGGCGCAAAGCTATACGGAGAAACTCTGTCTCGGAAAAAAAAAAACAAA